TCAACTTGCTCACTGCGCCTAACCTTTCAAGCATTGACATTGCCAAAATGATAGCGCCAGATCTTTCGCCCTTCGAAGCACAAGACCTCCACCGTCTCTTGACATCCTATGCGGACATATTCTATCTAGACAACCGCCCTTTAGGCCAGACATCAGTTGTGACCTATCACATAAACGCTGGCGATGCCAACCCAATACATCGCCGCCCTTACCGTGTCTCCGCTGCTGAACACTCTGTCATCCAGTAGGAGGTCGGGAAAATGCTCGCCAAAGGCGTCGTCGAACAGTCATCTAGTCCGTGGGCATCCCCGTTCGTGCTTGTCAAGAAGGACAACACATGGCGGTTTCGGGTCGATTATAGACATCTCAACAAGGTCACTAAGAAGGACGTTTACCCCTTACCAAGAATAGATGATACCCTTGACTGCTTTCATGGTGCAAAGTTTTTCCCATCCATTGACCTTCGATCTGGTTATTGGAAGATCGCTGTTGACCCACGAGACCGAGAAAAAACAGCATTTGTAACCCCCGACGGATTATATCAATTTAAAGTAATGCTGTTCGGGCTTTGCAAAGCGCCGGCCACCTTTGAGCGCATGATGGATTCCCTTCTGTGCGGCTTCAAATGGTCTACTTGCTTGTGCTACTTGGATAATATAATTGTTTTTCACCGACGTTCGCGAGCCATCTTGAGCGACTGTCCAGTATTCTCCAAGTATTCCGCAACGCTGGTCTTCAGCTGAACTCTTCCAAATGCCGTTTCGGCCATCACGAAATAACTGTACTTGGTCACCTCGTTAACGCATCTGGGGTACAGCCCGACCCGGACAAAATTCGCGCAGTGGCTCAATTTCCCGTACCCTCTTCTGCTAAAGATGTCCGGAGCTTCCTTGGTTTATGCTCCTATTTCCGCAGCTTCATCCGGAATTTTGCCAATATTGCGCAGCCTCTCATCGAGCTTCTTAAAAAAGACGTCCCATTTACTTGGAATTCGCCTCAACGTGCTGCATTTTCGGCACTCATTGGAGCCCTCACGACTACGCCAATATTAGCCCACTTCGATCAGACCGCACCGACAGAAGTTCGTACTGATGCAAGTGGCCACGAAATCGGTACTGTGTTAGCTCAGCGTCAGCATGGACGTGACTGCGTCATCGCCTACGCCAGCCGCCTTTTGTCCCCTGCTGAGAAGAACTATTCCATCACCAAAAGAAAGTGTCTTGCTCTTGTTTGGGCTGTCACTAAATTTCATCCGTACCTGTTCAGCCGCAGTTTTACTGTTGTAACCAATCATCATGCGCTTTGCTGGCTTTCGTCGCTCAAGGATTCCTTGGGGCGTCTTGGTCGTAGGTCTCTCCTCCTCCAAGTATACACCTTCTCGGTCATGTATAACGCCGACTGCCTGTCACAGTATCCAGTGGATCCGCCAGACGCCACAGAGAGAGCTACTGAGGCTTGCGTCTTATCAATATCAGACATTCTTGATATCGCTTCTGAGCAACGCCGCGACCCGGATATACTTCCCATCATAAAAGGCCTCAGTTCCGCTACTCCACCCACTTCTCTGAACTTGTATCTACTTCATGAAGGGGTTCTGTACCGCCACAACATGCGCCCTAATGGTCCTGACCACCTTCTAGTCGTGCCTTCCCATTTGCATGTAGATGTTCTCCGACAGCTTCACAATGAACCTGCCGCTGGTCACCTGGGAGTCACCTGCACTTATGATCGTGTCCGGCGTCGTTTTTTCTGGCCACGTCTATATCGCTCTGTGCAAAAGTATGTCGCCAGGTGCGACCTTTGTCAACGTCGAAAACAACCAACATCGCTTCCAGCTGGCCTCCTTTACCCTATTGAGATCCCTGCTGAACCATTCTACTGCGTAGGGCTCGACCTTCTCGGGCCATTTCCCACTTCTGCATCCGGGAACAAATGGGTTGCTGTGGCGACCGGCTACGCGACACGTTACGCGATTACCCGCGCTGTCCCAACCAGCTGTGTACCGATGTCGCCGACTTTCTACTGCACGACATCATTTTGCATCACGGTGCTCCTCGACAGCTCGTTACTGACCAAGGCCGATACTTTTTCTCTCGCGTCGTCCAGGGTCTTGTACGTTCCTGTTCCACGAACCACAAGTTCACAATGGCATACCATCCACAAACTAATGGACTTACAGAGCGCCTGAATCTCACTATCGCCAACATGTTGTCGATGTATGTTTCTCCAGCCCACCGCGACTGGGACGCAACGTTACCCTACGTCACCTTTGCTTACAACTCCTCCAGACATGACACTGCAGGCTATTCCCCGTTCTACCTTCTTTATGGACGTGAATCCTCTCTGCCTCTCGATACACTCCTTCCCGCTGGTTCAAGCTCCCCTGTCACATACGTCCGCGATGCCATAGAACAAGCCAACGCAGCACGACAGATTGCTTGAGAACAACTCACACTTTCTCAAGCCTCTCAGAAAGATCGGTACGATCGTCACCACTGTGAAGTTTCGTGTGCACCCGGTTCACTAGTACTCTTGTGGACCCCCTGTTGTCACATTGGCCTTTCAGCAAAGCTCTCATGTCGCTATGACGGACCATACAAAGTCTTACGCAAGGTCACCAACCTCACCTACGAAATACAGCGAGTCGTCGATGAAGCGCATTCAACGCCACCACCATCTACTGTTATGCACGACGTAAGACTGAAGCCTTATATGTCGCTCAACACTCCGCTTTCGTGACAAGCGCCGGGTTGGCGCTTTAACGCCGCGGGGTAGTGCCACAAGGCAGTAGTGGGATTGGGGCATAAAGCGGTAAAGGGTCTCTGCTTGGAAGAAAAGACTACGAAGTGGATAGAGACTGGTCCCAGCCCGCCAGTGTGTCAGCCATTGCCATCACATGTAAACATCGTAAATATCTGCAATTATACGTTTCCTTGTAGTAATATATAGATAGAAAAAAGACTATTTGGTTTTGAAGGTTGTGTGCAGGCAGCGCATGCGGATTGAAAACAAAACTACCGTTTTCTGCAATCGCCGAACGCTAAGCCGCGGTCTCTGTGATGTGATCATCACTAGCTACAACTAGTCGAGAGCACTTGGCTAACGAAGTGGTAGATTAAAGGCAGTAACGACATAAATTGGGCTACAAGCATTTCGGCGTTCCTGTCCCAAGAATCTAGTTACGTTGTTGCGGTCTATCTGTGTCGGCCTCAAGCAAAGCTTTGACCCGCGCTTTCCCGGCAGCCGGCTGCACTGTCCCGTCCGTTCATGTGTGTCCCAGAAAGACATATGCGAGTTCTTCTGACAGAAATAAATTTTTCTAGTTGTTTTGATGACGCTGAATTTCGGGAGATACGAATATTTGCGCACCCCCATTGAGACTCGTGCCTTATATTTCGGAAACCCCAGCATCGTGTATTCAGCCATTGCAAGCCATTGTAAGACCGCTATGCCGATGTTTACGAACTCCTCCCGCCCTTCCCGTTTTTATTATTTTTTTTTTCAATGTAACTTTTTTGTTTTCTTTTGAGCCCCCCCCCCCCCCCCCCAAAAAAAAGGTGTGTGGGCAAATAAATCGGGGGGAATCCCGCCTCCCCCCATAACGGAAATCTCCCGGATTCATAACCATTCAACTTGGCAGGAATGGTATAAGATAGCTCGTATCGCCTTCTACATGCCGCGGTGTCAACGCGAAGAGACTGCAACAAAGAGCATCTCGTCCTTTCATGGCCGTGTTACACTAGTGTTTTGTAGAGTTACGCGATATCAGATTCAAAAGATTGATCATTCAGAACATGACAATTTGTTGCTATGGCCTGTATTGCTTCGCTTTTGTGGTGAAACTGGAATTTTTTTTTCATAACTTAATGGCATTGTTCAGGGGAGAAAAATGATGACTGTAACGGTGCTAAAAAGGGGAGTGGGTATCTGATTTTTGAAACAGCCGAACAAAGACAGGTGCCCAGGACTGCGCGCACCCATTTTCTTGTTCATTTCGCTGCTGTGCTGCATTACATGGCACTTATGAACTCTGCGGTTCAAGCTTGCGTGTTCAGGTAAAAAAAAAAAAAGGCCGGCTCTCTATAGCTGAAAAAGTCAGTTTCACTTCAAAGGTGAAGCAATGAATGTGACAGCAACGAATTGTGGTGCTATGCGAAGTGAAGCTGATAGCTATCTTTTGAATCTAATTTCTCGTAACTCTACAAAATGCTGATGTAAAGGAGAATATGGTCATTTCAGGGAGAGCAACACTTTTCGTGCAGTCTCTTTGCAATGGGAACGCAGCACGTAGAAGAGAGCCACCCGTCTATAGGAGCCACCCGCTGATGGCGGCCAAGCTATCGCCAGCGATCATGACCACACCCTTAGAAGCGACACCTCCCCAACCCCTCAGGTCTTGCTCATTCAAGACGGGTGGGGTATTTTCTTTATTCTGCCATGGCAGGCCCCTGCAGAGCTATTCTACCCTATTTCACACGCACGAATGCTTTCCGCGACTCCTTTTTTCCAGATGCAATTGAATATGGAATAGCTTAAGTGATTTGGTTGTACAACAAACGCTGTCAGTCAACTTTTAAGATGCATTAGACAGCTTTCTCTGCAGTGATAATTGCTAACTTCTATTGCCAGCGTTTGTTTCTCGATTTTTAATCGACACAGTCACTGCTGTTTGTTTCTTCTTTTCCTGGAGATGATTGTTCATCTGTCATTCCTATGTGCTATTGAATACTGCTTTATTGTGTGAATACTATGTATTCTGTGACACCCTCCCTGTAATGACCCCAAGCACGGGGTTGACTGCATCAAATAAATAAATAATTGGTTCATTTAAAAGTGGCAAATGTGCGTAAGGCCATGTAGAAACAGCAGTTTTTTCATTCTTTTAAAATTTGGAATCATGCATATTTTACACTATTTGCATTCAAATTTTCATTAATATCTCATTGCACATGCAATAGTTGTAGTGTCTTGGATAGCAGCTGCTGCTTCTTGCTCTGCAGGAGAAAGGCATTCAGGAAATTCAGAAAAAAGCTCTGGGCGAGAAGCAGATTATTCAAAGTACAACCAAGATGCAGGAGGAGCTGGTCTCTGCCCACACTGAGAAGTGGGAGAATGCTTCAAACAACAAAAATGTGTCATGGTCCTTTATGAGACCCAGGGTTCAAGCATTTCTTGAGCAGATGGAAAGTGCACTCGCAACAGGGGACATTAAGCAAGCCTGCAAAGTGGAGGCAGACTTTAAGCAGCAGCTAAGCACGGTACAGTACCATTTGCATGAAACTTTGCTATTGGACATGCATGTGATGTTACTTGATTTGCAGACATGTTTATGCAAGCACATATTATTGCAATTAGGCACTCCAGGCACATTTCCTCTTGCCCCAGTGGGGTTCTGTGTAAAGTGAATTTCGACATCTCCTCGCGTCACACATGTTCTGTGTGTGTGAAAGCATGCGAGGGCAGCTGACGATTTGAAGGTGCAGAGCCTGCCAAGGTCTGGACTGTTTGTCTCAACACCTATAGTGCACAGAAAGGACAAGGCCTTGAGGTACGACACGGGCACGGCACTAAACCATTGCTATACAGCAAACAAAATGAAGAAAACCTAATAAGACCCTCAGTTATTTTTCTGATGTTGTAGAGGTCGGCAGTTGTACTGCACAAGGAAAGATTAAAGCTCTCAAGCTTGCCTCTTGCTTTTGTTAGCCTGCTTGTTATTGATTCTGAAATAATATCTTTACTTGGTTGAAGTTATTTAACCCGTCATTCGAAATGTGTCCCTCTCTGAAAATATTTATTGTACTATCTATTAACTTCACTTAAGGGGGCAGACTGGTCTCTGGGACCAAAAATAGACCGAAAAATTCATTTTTTTAAATTGACATATTTGGTGTCTGTAAGTATTTTTCTATCTCTCTGCAAATTTTCACACACCAGGAAGTGGCGATTTTCTCGCAATGTCATTCTAACTGTCCAGATTCTTGGTACTGTTGACATGCCGAACCTGCAAAAAAAAAAAAAAGGGGGGGGGGGGGAACACACTTCGAGGCTTCTTTATAATTTGCCGGCACCTGTGTTGGAAGCTCTGCTACTAATTTATGAGCACCTTTATGAGGATTGCAAAACATGCGCACCATGATTGTCGCTTTTTGAAGAAGCTGTGTGTTTTCAGTTTTTGCCATTTTTCTCAAAAAAGTAAGTTTATGGCTGTTCGATTTTGAGGCCTCAATATCTCTGCAGCTAGGGCAGGTACAACAATTATTATTTTTGCAATAGAAACCTTTATGTGTGTAGAATGCAAGTATGGGAGCAGAATTTAGAACACAGGCATTTTAATTAATTACTCATCAAAATTGCAATACAATTTCAACTGCTTTTGCAAATGAATAGTTCACTTTGCTATAAAATAACCAAAACACAATTTCAAGTGCTTTTGCAAATGAATTCACTTTGCTATAAAATAACCAAGAAAGGACTAAAAAAAATTACATACTTTCAGTCTATAGTTATTGGTCTATGTTGGCATATCTTAAATTTCACTTTTAATTAAGCAATTCTTTTCCATGGCGGCCTTAAACAGTTGGGGATGAACTAAAGTTATCTCCGAAACAAGATGAGTAACAGGAAAACTTATTGAATATTTGAAATCGGCAGAAAAACCTGCATAATCCTGTGCACTTTGATCAAGATCACTGAAGAAATAAATAAAAAATGTCTAAGACCAGTCTGCCCCCTTAAATATAGATGAAGTCTCACAAGAACATTTAAGAAGCCATGTCATTCTAACCTAACCCCCCCCCCCCCGCCATGGTGGTCTAGTGGCTAAGGTACTCGACTGCTGACCCACAGGTTGCGGGATCGAATCCCGGCTGCTGCTGCTGCATTTTTGATGGAGGCGGAAATGCTGTAGGCCTGTGTGCTCAGATTTGGGTGCACGTTAAAGAACCCCAGGTGGTCGAAATTTCTGGAGCCCTCGACTACAGCGTCTCTCATAATCGTATCGTGGTTTTGAAACAATAAAACCCCACATATCAATCAATCAACCATTCCAACTGAATCCTTAGTAAATCTTCCTGCTTTTTGCTTAACGGCTGTTCTTGTAAAAATTACTTTACAGACGCATTAGTCGGATAACTCACAAAGAGGCTGTTGTACTGGTTGTGACTGGGGAACTTTTAAACAGATAAGAAACAGCTGCTGCTCATCGCTCTCGCAGTTGCTAAGTGCACAAGGAATCGAGGGACAAAGTTCTACCAGCGTTCAGGACAGTTCATCGAGCCTGTTTGAAGCTGACCCTTGCAATGAAGACACCGCAGAGGTAAAGTGTCCTTTGCGAGAAAGAACATCTTTCATTGAAAGAAAACACTGCATGTTCTTGTTAATTTGACTGTGCAAATGCAAGCATGCATTTATTTACCGAAATACATGCTTTAAGGATGTTTTCAAGTTTTCTATTGCAACATCTGTTTAAGTGGAGAACTAGGCAAAATGAGTCAGAGTAGCTTCGCTGGGACAGTAGATGGGTCATAAGACAATTGGGGCTCCAGCTACATTTAGATTATTATTTTAAGATTAGACTCTTAGATCACCGTGTCCAGGTGCAGCATACTAGTGTGGTCTATTTGAATTTCTGAAGATGTGACCAACCTATTCTGATGGTTGTGTTGAAGGCGAATCAACTTGCTCAATTCACAGCAACAATAATTATCATTTATGTGTGCTGCCATTGCCGCCATACTCCGCAGCTAGTTGCAGTGCTGGCCATGTTACTGGAAGTTGTCCTCTGCTTTCACTTTTTTTTTTATTCCTCAGTTTTTCAATGCTTTGATATATCGATGTCACTAGCATGACATGTCTTCTGAATTAGATCATCAGATCATTGTGAGATGTTTTAAGGTAAATTTACCAGTGCAAAAAAAAAAAAAGACCGTACATTTAGGTAGGACATACACACAGAGCGCCGAACTCACAACTGATTTATTGTTTCGAACGGAGGGCCTTTTTGTAGGCACGAGTCAAAACAAAAGAAAGATAATGTGAAGAAAAGAAGTGATGAAATCCATCTGATAACTGCTTGCCAAAAAGACAATCAACCGAATGCAACCACGCTTTCCGAAATTCCTACGCCATAAAGTATGCCCCTGGTATGAAAGAAGTAAAAAATTATACACCGCCATCCTTTTGTGTCATGCGAGCAAGGTGTTGTGTACTCCACGCCACTTTCGTGCGCCAAGCATTATGTTAGACGAACGGGCAGGCGCCTTATTGTCCGTCTCAGAGAGCACCAGCAGAACCTTTCAGCAGTCGCCTGCAGTCATTTAATGATGCACTGCCGAGACTGCGGCTGCTTCCCACACTTTGAGGGTAGCACTGTCTTAGCCAGGCATGGCAAACAAATTGTTGTAGAGATTTTAGAGACAGGGTGACAAATGTATAAGCAGGCCTTCCAGTTTCCTCTCAAATAAGGAAATAAGCCACCTACGGCGCATGCCTTTTCTATAGCTTTAGTTCGTGCTTTACACTGTTTTTATATTTTGTTTTAGTTTTTAACGTTCCCGGCTGCGACGGCTGCATTTTCGATGGAGGCGAAAATGCTGTAGGCCCGTGTGCTCAAATTTGGGTGCACGTTAAAGTACCTCAGGTGGTCAAAATTTTCAGAGCCCTCTACTACGGCGTCTTTCATAATCATATGGTGGTTTTAGGACGTCTAACCCCATATATCAACATTTTTTTGTCACAGTGCTCCCTGCCCTCTCCTGCACCTCTGTATCCACAGTTGCCCTCTCCCCGTCCTTTGCTAGGATAGAGGAGAAGGTACAAAGCACATACACGCTAGCGCTAAGGAAACCAGTTCTAGCCTTGAAGATGATAAGTCCACTTGTCAAAACGTCCGCTTGAGCACACAACCCCTGTTTAGGGATTTTTTCACTGCAAGCTCCCATTTTTTCGTTCCTGCCGTTTTTTGCAAGTATTTCATGTGATACAAGTGATATGGTTGCGTGACAAAGTATTCGTGCTCATTGCAAGATTTAATTCCCATTAACTAAATTTTTCTACATGTGAACCACATCCACATGGATTATTTAACAATAGCATGTTCATTTTCAGTACTTATCTCAACATGTCGAGAATGCATCAGTTCAGTTGATGCACTCCAGTTTTGGCAGTTCTTATGACAGTAGCTTTTTGCGTACATCTTAACAACTGAATACTTCACTGTAATTGAGACAACTGTATATTCCTGGTTGGATGAACTAAAATTATGGCTTGCAGTGAACCAGTTAGAATTGAAAACGAAAAAAACAAAAGTTATGCTATTCAAGCAGAAAAATAGACCTTCAGATTAAACTATTTCTTTAATTTACAATGGTGAGAGTATTTCTCTGGTAAACATAGTTCAATTTCTGGGTGTATGTTTTGAAAGCGACCTTAGTTGGTCCGAGCATGTGGATAACCTTCGATTGAAGATATCAAGGTCTATCGGTTTAATTTGACGATTGCAGCATCTACTTCCAGGGAGAGTGAAACGGCAGTTGTACTTTTATTTTATCCACTCGCAAATCATGTATTGTGTTCTAGTCTGGGGTACGTGTAACAAAACAAACAGTGAAAGTATTATTTTTCTCCAAAAACGCACACTACGTCTGCTAACTACCTCGGTCCCCCCAAATACGTCCCTTTTTCGTGTGCACGTGATACCATCCCCAGAGTGCTACAAGGTACAACTAGCCATGTTTATCTATAAAAAAAATTAAGAACAACTTTCAGGGTTTTTCTGATACATACTTAAGCAGAGATCTTGCATACAATCTATGTACTGTTGTGTTAGTGGGGCCGATGTGTCGGACAAACTATGGCATACAGCCAATTGATAACCAAATTGTTTTACTGTGCAACAAGATTCCTGAAGTAATAGAATATGCTAGGGAGACAAAAAACAGTACAAAATTTAAGAAGCAAATTACAAATGTAATAATCCAAACCCACTTATAGGGTGCGTGTGCTGAAGATTAGTAATGTATCAAATATATCTGTTGTAATCTTTGTTCTTTATCATATTTTACCATGTCCAGACGAATTGTCTGTATTTAAATATATGTTAATAGTGCTGATAACGTCTTTTTTGTTTATCGCTAAGGAACAGCTTTGTTTGAATCTTTAACCGATATTTTCTGCACTTGTTGTAATGATCATCATTTCTTTTTTTATAGTTTGTATGCGTAATCTTGAATTTTCTATATACTGTTTTGCTGTACTTGCCCGAGGTTCCTCACGAAAAGTGGGCCTAGTCAGGAGACGCTCTCTGCTTTTGCCCCCTTCGTGGGCATTTTTGTAAGGAATGCCCAAATAACAATAAAATAAAATAATTAAACCAGGGTTAATTAACTGTGGCTTGATGAATTTTCGGTATAAGAGTTTGAAGAGCACTATGCTGTGTCCTGTCGTTGTTCTTTCACACAAGAATAGAGAAGTTGACAAACATGTCATCACTACATTCTTTACTGGTTTCTAGGAAAGAAGTGGAAAGTTAAGAACTCACTTTTTTTAGACACAATTAACGAGAACAGATGTCAAGGAAAGTATGGGGGATGTTTTTAGTAGTAATTTTATTGCAAATGCGAAGAAAGTCAAGTGAATAATGAGATAACTTTCCTATGGCAGGGACTAAACCTGCGACTGTCGAATAATGTGTCTGATGCTCTACCGACCGAGCTGTTGTGATAGTCATCTCCCCTGTCCACTTTATGGGGTATATATGTGTGTTTAAACCTGAGAGTGTTGGTCAGTGTCACTAGTAGTTATGAGGGTGAGTGTGGAACGCTCTTTTTCTGCCTGTTGATGTCGCATAGCACGTGATCTTATTACCAGGTGGCAGCTGACCAATAATCCTTCTCATACGACCTGAAGGCATCAGGTCTGCCAGAGCCCAGATTCTTCACATTTACGTTACACTTACTACTTATAATGTCCCCTATACTTTTCTTGGCATCATTGTCTGTTAGTTCTCTTCGACACTGGTTTCTTGTGGTTTGGAAGTGGACTTCTTGTAAAATGCAATTATGTCAACGAACTGCTCGAGAACTTTCAAGAACACTCTGAAGTACGCGCTTTGGCTGAACATGTCACTGTTCTGCAACTTAACGCTTCAGTATTCACCATCTCAGCTTCAGTGTATATTGTGGCACTCAAAACAATGCTTGGGACTTTTTTCGTATTAAGAGTCTCATTTGAGCATGTTGGCCTGTAGTTGTCAAACAAGCATTCGCGTGAACTACTGTCATGATGCCCGGGCAACAAGGGTCTTCGTTGTCATTGGCTGCAGTTGCTACATTCCAGTTTTGCTAGCGTTCTTCTGGCTGCATTTGTGCATAAAGCAACAACTTTGAGGAAATTTCGCTTGGGCTAACCTTGTTTTAATGGACACTTGTGTATAGGTAGAATTTAGTGATATTTTTGATACCATCATGCAAGCATGATCTATCTGGACAGATTATATCTCACTCTGACAATTTTCACAACTTGGTACTTATTGAAAAACAATTTCTTTCTTGTACCTTTTTTTTTGTCCTGAGGTTATTATTGGATACCTGTTATACTGCAGGGGGCTCTTGTGTTGATTATAAATTTGTGGTTTATATTCAACAGGTCCTCAAGATTCCTCTCTCATCGGGCCTCGCTTCTCCAGGATTTGTTTTGCCAAGTTCTGTTACCGTAGGCCGAGGGGAAATAAGCAGCTCAGAATCCTACTGTGGAAACGAAAGGCTGATTGACGTAAGTTTTGTGTTTGCATTGAGTGCTTCTCATAATCAAAAGATGTTTCTTTTTATTAAATTCTTATACAGTCATACAGCAGGTTGATTCCACGTAAGATCGAACAAAGCCTGGCCGGTTGACCTCTTCCATTTATTTCACATATTTAAATATTGTTGCCTGATGAGTGGAAAGAAGAAATCCACAATTTATTTTGCCGGAGTTTTTTAAAGAGCAGTAAATCAATGACAAAAAGGTGGAGTGCCACCCTTACCTGGCCTGTTGTTTATTCAGACTTTGGCTATGAATTACACAAAATGTATTGAAGCTATGTACCTCAAACTTTTTTGCTAAATATATGCGAGTTTTTGCTTGCATTCAGTGATTTGTTGCTTCTGTTGGTAGTGTAGATATTTTCATAAAAAATTTCAAAATCAACCCAGAAAACATTTTCATGCCCACTGTGCAGCCCTTTATTTCAAAAGGCGTATGACAGAGGCGAAAATTCTGCACTACGTTGTCAGCATGCTTATTTATGAAACTATGAAACTTATATTAATAGCATCTTGAGATAAAGAGATACAATTGCGCTAAATTCAAGAAAACAGCATACAATAGAAAAATCTGACAATTAAAAAAAACATTTTTGATATTTCTTAAACTTTTCCCACTTATTCTCTTGCACATCAGTTTTCACAATCAATAAAAACATGTTGCACTAATGTGGTTTCACTTGCAGTTACGTCCCATCGAATAAGCCCCTTGCGCAAGCTTAGGCAATTGTAGATCGGACTTTCTGTCCGATAAATGTATGGAATGCAGGCCTATACTTCAGTTTCTTAAATGGCTAGCAGCACTGGAGTAACTGTTGGCTGCACTGAGGATGCCAGTTTCAAAATCATTTGGTCACGAGAGCAACCATGAGTGTGGAATCACCAAGCAAGCAAGCGCACACAGTCCCGGTTTGTTCCGGAGTGAAGAGGGCCCATCGAATAAGGCCCTTGCATAAGAATGAGCACACCATGTAGGTGTGAAGATAAGATAAAAATACATGAAAATATGAATAATACACATGAATAAAAAGTCTAGGTAAAGGTGTCACAACGCCTTAACCATTGATAGTGATACTTATTTGCCAAATATGGCTCTACAGGGTTGATTTTGTTTTTATTTTAGACCTAAAATATTCAGGGTGATAAGATTTGATTATAAAATTTATTCAAACTTTCTTAGTCTCCATGAAGGCACAAAAATATTTTTTTATTGATGTTGACATAATGCTTACTCATGATTAATATAAATAAAGGTCATGACACATGCTGATCTAGCTTCTTTCTCCCATGCGATCCTTCCATGCTTAGCTTCCAGGATGGACGAGAGAGGAGAGAAAGCACTTAAAGCGGGCTACGGATTTGAGAAATTTGGCAGCAATTAATTCATGAGGCAATAAACTCTTGTGCTGAGGTCATGCGATGATTACCTTAAAAATAGTTCACTACCCCTTTAAAAGGACATTAAAGAGAAAGACAATTTTTCTCATGTTATTTTGACGATTCCAAAGTCGCCACGGTAGCCATTAAAAGATGCTTGATAAGCGAGAAAACACACAAAAGGAAATAGGGGTGGCGACGTGATTACTAAATTCTACATAATTCCCAGTCAGTAAAAATGAAGTACATTGTCCTCTGAGGGTATCATAGACTTTGCACACCAAGTTTCAGGAGCTATCCTCAAGCTAGTGTCTCTCAAATGCAAAATAGACAATTTGAAATTCGTGACGTGACGCATGATTTCGGCGTGAAATATAAACAAATAAGCTAGACCTTGATTTTCTCTTTTGTTAATAAGCCTATAATGGTTAATGGTTAACGGCATTTGAATTCTCCAAGTACAATTCATCAATTTAAACTAATTGATTGTTTGATTTCTCTTTAGTATCCTTTGAAAAGATAGAGAATGAAAACTTCAAGACTGCTTGAATGCTTATTGAGTAGGCAAGGTAGTGTTGGTGCATGGGGTGCCAGTTCCTGATCAAAGACGCAGGGCACTTAGCTTAGCAGAACTTCTGCTTGGGACAGATTCACAAGGGGGATAACTTGAGGACTTTCACTCAGAACTATACAGCTTAGAAAACCCTTATGAGGCTAATACTGTGCCAATATAGCCAGGGAAGATGGCTTAAAACTGATTTATGCAATATGGAGGTGATCTTATATTTGTGAAGCTTTTGACACTACAGATTATGCCTTACAAATTCAGATGTACCAGAGAGTTTGAAAAACACTAGTATTCTATTGCTAATACAGTCGAGCTTGACTATATCGAACCCGTTTATATCAAATTATCCCGTATATCGAACAATTCCTTAACACGATAAGTTTACATTGAGAATATATAGCAAAAGTTACTGTTTTATCGAACGAAAATAGCAACGACAACTGATATATCAAACTCCATGTGCCTCAAAAGTGCCCCAGCTAGTTGGCTTTCTCTCGCGGTGGCGGGGAAAACTGCCGGCGCCACCCTAGAAAAAGTTGGTGGGACCCGGTCGCGCGTGGGCGAACATCCCCCTTCAAGAAATGATCCTGGCCCGCTCGCAGCGCTTACAGCCAATCAGAGGCCGTCGTGCTTTCTTTGAGGCGCGAAGGCGGTAGAAGTGAGCGCCATTTTTTCTTTCTGTATGCTTGTGTGCCTGCTGCTGCCGATTCAGCATGGTCTGTGGTGTTGCCTGTTGGTGCTCTGTGAACTGTATTGGCGCGCTGTCATCATGGCTAGCGCAAAGAGGCAAAATTTGCTGTTCGCTGCAAAACTCGAAATCATTAGTCGGGTTGAGCGCGGTGAAAAGAAGTCCGACGTCGCCGCCACGTACAAAATTCCAAGGAGCACCTTGAGTACTATACTGAAGAACAAGGCAGACATCAGAGCCAAGTCGGACAAAAGGCCAGGTGCCCGTGGCGCCCGACGTGTGCGTGCTGCTGTGTACGAAAATGTTGAAGCGGCCGTTTACAAGTGGTTTGTGGACGTTCGGTCGCGAAACATCCTGGTGTCCGGCCCTATCATCGAGCAGAAAGCCAAGGACCTTGCTTTTCTGCTTGGCAGGAATGATTTCCAAGGTGGTTCAGGCTGGCTTCAGCGGTTCAAAAAACGGCACGACATCGTTTGCAAAGCTGTTACAGGTGAAAACAGAGCGGCGGACCTGGACAGCGTAGAAAAATGGCTCGAGGAAAACTGGCGAGATATCGCAGCAAGATCCCAAGATATCTTTAATGCGGATATCTTTAGTGCCAAACAAGACACTTGCGTGTCGTGGCGACAAGACAAGCGGCAGCAAGGCAAATAAAGCTCGTGTGTCCGTGCTGTTGGCAGCTAATTTATACTTATCGAAAAAGCTTCGACCTCTGGTTATCGGAAAAAAAACGGCACCGCGGTGTTTTCGAAATGCGCTGTTGCTTCCAGTTACCTACCGAGCAAACTCAAAAGCGTGGATGACCGGGGAGCTTTTCAGCAGATGGCTATCGTCGTGGAATGATGATTTGGTAGGCGAAAATCGCAAGGTGTGCCTGCTCGTGGACAATTGTTCATCGCACCACTGCAGTACAACCTTCAGCAACATCGAGCTGCATTTTTTGCCCCCGAACACTACGTCTGTACTGCAACCACTGGATCAAGGCGTTATACGCGCAATGAAAGCCGGCTATCGGAAGCGCCTGGTGGAGAGGCTGCTGCAGAACCTTTGTGTCAGCAGGGAGGTTAAGATCGACTTGCTCGGAGCTATTTCTATGTTGAGTAGATCGTGGGCAGATGTCAAGAAGTAGACGATCCAGCACTGCTTTAGGCATGCCAGCTTCCCCATGCCTGGTGATGACACCCCAAATTCTGACAGCACTGAAGACACCGCATGTGTTTCCGCCGAAGTTTGGAACGAGCTGGCAGAGTTCCCGGGTGCTATCGACGGATCGACATTCGACGAGTTCCTCAGTGCGGACGATGATGTCCCCATTATGGGCCAATTACAGGATGAGAATTACATTGCAGACGTCGTGCCGACCACGAGCCAAAGCGACAGCAATATGAAAATCGACGACGGCCCATTGCCTACATCCTCTGAAGTGATTAGTGCACTTGCGTTGGTCTGGCGCTATTGCTTGAATGTGGAAGGCTGCGGCCTCAGCTGTTCCGACTCATTGGACAACGTGGAGGCGTGCGTGCTGTCGCCGGCAGCGAAGTCGTTGATACAGAAAACAATCCGGGACTATTTTGTTCCACAGTAGGGCACGCAAGTAAGCCACCATATTAATAAGGTACTTTTCTTCTAGTTTGTTATGTGCCTTTGTGTCAAAACCTATACCGGGCCTATATTGAATTATGCCATATATCGAACTAATAAACGTTTTTTGGCGAGTTCGATGTACCCGGGTTCAACTGTAGACAGAAAGTGGGCACGAGAGACTTGAACTTGACCAGTCAACTTTCTTTCAGCATTGTACAGAATGGTCACAAAGATAGTTTTGAATAGGACAAGAGCCACACTTTGAGGAACCTAGAGAACAGTTTGCCTTTAGGAAAGAGTGTTCTACAGTAGATCACCTGCGGAGACGTAAAGGGGAATCTGCTCACACAGGACAGTGTGGGCTGAAGATCATTGGGAGAGGCCTTCGTAGTGCAGTGGATGTAAAACAGGTTGCTGCTGCTGCTGATAATAATCTTTAAAGGAGACCTGCAACACTTTTTTAGCATGGTCAGAAAATGCTGGCTATCTGTAGTCTAGGCTCCCGGGAGCACGCAAGCCAAATAGTAATATAGGGCAGCATGCGGCCTGGAATTTACAATAAATTCTTAAACTCTGCTAAAAATTGCTTTCTCTTTTCTTGACAAACGATGCTACATGCTAAAGAGTTATAACGTTATAGGCCCAAGTATTATGCCATTGGCTGATATGAGCATGTTGTCCTCAGGGGTTACTGGAGCCATTGCAGGAGGCCGGGACCTGTCTGCGAGTGCATGCATGATTGTACTGAAAA